CTGTCGGGAATCAAATATCCAAATCCACGCACTGAGCATGCATGTTTGTGGGTAGTCTGGTTCCAAAAATATTTTGAAATCTTGTACGTGTGTTCGTTCCTTCCACCGAAGTCTCTACCGCGAGCCCTATTAAAGTCCTTCTTTACATACTTCACTTCGACATGTCGGTTCGTATGAACCTCGGAATACCCCCATAACGAAAGACAACAATTCTTATGTCTGTGCCCGTTTTGCTTCTCTGGAAAGACCAAAAAGCGGCCCTGCAATAATCTGTGTCTTGTTTTGACCTGGTCTCATCCATGTAGGCCACGCTGGCATGGCCGTATATAGATACCTCTCTTCTACTCGTCAGTCTTCTCTCATTTCCTCGCGTCTTCAAATTGGCAACTCCAAAACGAGCCCAAGAGTTACCCATGTCTGCGGGCACGTTCGTTGAAAAATGTTTGTTGTGCCAGAAATGCGTGGTGTCGTGCGCCTCTTCTCAGTGTATTATACTTGCGATTTCTCTCATTCGTGAGAGTATCTTTTCGTTAAGGTCGTCGATGTTGCGGAAGTCGTGAGTGGCTCGTTTCGCTCTGCGTCATCGCAGTACCATGGGATGAAGCGGATGGAACCAAGAGATGGAATCGCACACAGGTGTGAGTCATGCGCCTCTTCTCCAAATCCCTAAACTATCTACCGCCTGCGTAGAGCACTGAAACACTCGACTTCAGAATGTATGTTCCTCCAAAAGATGCGGACGCACCATCTATGTCTCGCTCAGTATTTTGCGTCTCTATCGATGATAGGGAAACCTCTGCGTACCTAGGTATCTGTTCGCCATGAAAAAAAAGACAAGGAGAACCTATGTCCTTGTGCCTGGCCTGCGGATCGTGGCTTACATGCCTTAGCCTGGATCTACACGCGATTAGCAGGCGTCTCAGTAAGCACATGTATATATAAAGATCTGTTACTACCGTCTTTCCTTACTTACAAACCCAACCTCGAGAGCTTCTGTAACAAAACGTTGACACAAAAGCTGCATGTGTTCTGTCAAAACTTCGAGAGCAGATCTACATGTTGCTTTCCCGCTTCCAACGCTAATTCGTGGACGCGATGTGCTGCTCCTCCCCAAAAGGTGCCTCCGTGTATATCTATCCTCCTCGTTTTTCCAACAAACTCGCGCCCGGTTTTCCAAGGCCATGGCTTTTCAAAATTATCAGATCACTTTCTCATCCTGAGAGATCATGCTCACAAAGAGTGAATGAGCGGATTTGTCCATCACGATTTAGAGAACCGAGAAAAGCCAAAAGCTCAATTTGGTTTCAAAACAACAACGAAGGAACGAACATGTCGTCTGCCGTTGCAATCATTCAAACAAAACGCGGCAAGAGCCATGTTGGGTATTGTGCACCTCTTCTCCAACCTTTAACAAACTATCGTTATAAGAGACTAGTCAAATCCCAACTACAAGATAACATGTCCTTCTACTATTGATAATTTTAAGACTAAAATCTGTTGGTCATGAGAAGACATGCGTAAATCTATCCGAAAAACTTACACATGCGTGAAATTATGCTTGGTCTCGTTCACTGCGGATCGTATTGCTAATATGTTAGCCTGAAGGTATTCACGTCAAACGGCATCCTTAATAACTGCCTCGATATATAAACATCCTTGCAGTCAGCTGCCTTGTTGTCCTCAATCTGAGAGTTGAATTTACCAAAAGCTGGGCAGACGACGTTTATGAGCCCGGCGTGATAAGTCAGTCCATGCTATTCTTCTCTTTTCTCCAAAAGTCTACCGAAGATGAATCATGATCGTTTCTCTCGAAACCCACGAATCCTGTGCGTATATGCGGATCAGACTGCGGTTGCGAAAAAGGAGGTACACCCAGGGATGAGACTTCAATAGTATCGGCAACTCGAGAAGATGACAAAGCCAAGAACGCCGAAATGGACTTTTTTGTTTTTGAAAATGCTAGTATACAGAAAGAAGAAGACCTCCTCCAACCTGTTCATGCAGCAAACCCCAATACCATGTCATTACCCTCCCATCCCATCCCAAAGAGGAAGAAAAGGAAGAGCAAAATCAAGATCTCGGCCATGCATATCACGAACTGAAATTATTCCACCATGTACAAACCCGACTCCACCCAGAAGAGTAAACACATCTCCGTTTTGACTTCAACGCATCTCTTAGGTCTCGTCTCTTGAATCTTCCTGAACCCACGTCTAACCGCCACGGCCGCCATAGGGCTGGTGCCTGAAGCCACCACCACCACGGTGACCTCCACCACGGTAGTTCGCACCCCGAACACCAGCGTTCTTGGGACCAGTGGGGGCGTTGATAGGAGCCTGGCCACCACCAGCAGGGGGTTGGCTAGAGCCCTGGCGAGAGCGGTTGTTCCTAAAGCCGCCGCGGCCACCACCGGGACCGGAAGGAATGTTCGGCTGAGGCGCGTCCTCGTACATGCCGTCCCAGCTCTGAGGGCCGCCCTGGGGGTTACCGAAGCCGGCGGGGCCGGAGAGTTGCTGCTGGCGGCGAGCCTGTTGTTGTTCGTATTTCTGCTGTTCGAAAGCGAGTTGATCTTGAGCGGTGTAAGCTGGGCGTGCACCGGCACTCTGGCCACCTTGAGGATTCATCATACCCGGACCACCTTGACCTCCTGGGCCTCCTCCACCTTGCATCTGTGCCATTTGCATCTGCTGCATTTGCTGCATCTGCATCGGGTTCATACCACCTGGGCCACCCATCATTTGAGGGTTCGGGGAGCCATTGCCGCGGTTCATACCTTGGTTCATCATCTGCTGTTGCATCTGCTGCATTTGCATCGGGTTCATGCCGCCCATGGCAGCCATGGGGTTGCCGGGCATACCACCACCGGCTTGCTGCTGAGCGAGAGTTTGCTGCATGGACTGGAAGTACTGTTGCATTCGCTGCCAGTACTGAGCCATCATGGCAGGAGACATGGCGCTGTTGCCACCTTGACCTTGCATGTTTCCGCCGCCGTTGTCGTAGTTGTTGCCGCCACCTTGGTTACCGTTACCGCCGTCGTTGAACTTGTTGAACTTGTTATTGCGACCGAACTTCTTGTTGCCATCGCCGCCATCGTCGTCGCGCATGTTGCCACGAGGCTGAGCGCGCTTGACCTCAATCTGCTTGCCGAGAATCTGGAGAGGTCCGCGTAGGGTGGCATCTACGGCTGCGTCGCCGTCGAAGGTAACGAAACCGAAACCACGGGGTCGACCGGTCTCCTTGTCCATCATGAGTGTGGCATCGACAACGCGACCGAATTGCTTGAAGAAGTTGGTGAAGTCTTCCTCGGTTGCTTCTTGGCTCACACCGCCGACGAAAATCTTGCTGGTGCGTTCCTGCTCCTCTCGTGGGATAGCACGCTTGGGGTCAATCTGCATGGTATTAGCTGGCAGCTCGCCGTTGATGGGAGTAGACATACGATTTTACCATCGAGGTAATGCTCCTTGACCATGACGATGTTCACACACTTGGGGTCCTTGAATGTAAGGAAGCCGAATCCTCTCGAGCGTCCGGTAGCAGCATCGCGCATTACGGTGCATTCGCTGACTTCGCCAAATTGTGAGAAGTAACCCTTGAGTGAATCTGTTGTGGGGATTTAGTAAGTCCCTACGTTTGAGCGTATAGTCGTGTGATAAAACTGGGGTATGTCTTGCTCTACTAATGTGTCATCACGTACCTTCTGTTGTCTCCCAGTTCAGACCGCCAATGAACATTTTACTATGGTTGAAGTTAGCAAGATGTTGCTTTATATCATCAACTTCAGGAAGAGCAGGCGATATTGATGAGGCGCATCATAGAGCATCCGTAAGTATATAGTTGGGTGGCCTTTGACGTGAAGGCTGGCGTTGGCCGTCATCATGATGCCGTCGAAACCATATTGGTAAGACTAAAGATGCAGAAAGTCGCAAGTACAGCATCTTCGCATACAGTCCACCGTAACTCCAGTTCTCATCCTTGGCGAGATATATCAGGACACAATCTCAGTAGATGAGTGATTGGTGTAGTAGGCTGGCGTCGCAGTCTTTGTCGAGTTGATCGCACTGCACCGCTGATTGTTGTTCGCCAGCGGGGCTATCGAAAGTGATTTCGCAAGTTGCAGTGTCGAAAAGTTCGTGTTCCATAGCTTGTCGTGGTTGATTGATGACCGACGGGAACATGTATGTTGGTATCGTGAGGTTCCCTTGCCGCTCGCGAGGAAGACCGCAGCCGCTGACGAATGGCTAAGCGACACCAACTCCTGCGCCGCATCCGACCCTGGACGTGTCGACTTCGTGGCGTGCACCAATCATATCGACCAAGAACGCACTCCACGTACTCATGTCCAAGTTTCGAGGTGCAAAAGTAGCCCTTGCAAAGGCACAGTTTGATTCGGATGAAACGTCTGTGTTCTGCTATGAATTCGAGTGTGGAAGTCTCAGACTATCTCACGACTCGGTAGCTATCCTCTGCTTGCGTTGCTGGTACGCGCTATCAAGTACCTAGGTATATATCGACATGAGGCGCTGCCAAAGTTCGGGCAAGCCGCGATAGTCCCTGCGTGAGGCGCGTTGATGGTTGCTCTGAGTATCGCTGAGCGGTTGACTTGTGTCTTCCAGCTTCTTCTAACAACCAACACTGGTGGCCCATTCCGCCATGCATCGAACGCCTCGCCAATGGGCGATATGGACCACAATCTTTCGCAAGGTGTCTAGCTCCTCGACCTTCATCCCAGACTCTGCGCCAATCATGACCCCAGGTGCTTTTGAAGGTAAGACACACACCGTGTCCAAAGCTTGTTCCTTGATTGTACACGCAAAGTGTCATACGAGAGCTGGTATCGCTCATGGTGCCTGATGCTCTAGCACAATGTCTTATGCGGTGGTTGATGGCTTTGGTCCTGGTAACAATATGTCCTCGGCGGATGCCCTGACACGGAAGATATATGCTCTTTTACCTTGTGATGCGCCTCTGATAGATGGGGATCATGTTAGACATTGCACGACTTACCCGTCTTCTTTCACGTTGATTGGCCCATAGTTGTCATCATCCATGGGCGCATTGTCGTACGACTGCTCGCCGCCAGCATTGTAACCGGATTGGTCCATGTGCGAGTCGCCGTCTGCCGCGCCTTGGGCTGGCCAAGAGAGCGCGCTATCTTGACCGTTGTTTTGTGCGGTATCCTGAGGAGGCGCGCTTACGGGCTCGGCTGGAGTAGGCTCAGGTTCGGTTTTGGGGGCTGGTGCGGGTGCGGCAGCCGCGGGCTTCTGTGCGGGCTCATCATCGTAGCTGGTGGACCGTTAGTAAGTGTCGCATTACACGCGCGAAGCTACGTCGCGCTAGAGATACTGACAGATCGTCGAAGATGTCATCCTCGTAGTTCTCGTCGGCCATGGTGTAGTCTTGAAGAAGAGCTTCCTAAAAGGTATGTCGGGAACGAGGAAGGAGCAAGCGCGCGAAAGTAGAGTCGCGATTAGAGAGGCGGGACTGTCGGGTTATTTAGAAGGAAGGGAGGTGATAGAAGGAAGAGTCTGTCGCCGGAGTGAGGAGATGAGAGCAGAGCAATGGGCAGGCGCGCTAGCATCGGGCTTGGCGTGGCAGGCGCGACGGATACATGCACGAGCCCTACGACATACTTAGGTACCCAGTACAGCCATGTTGTATAGAAAAGCTGTACTATTGATGGTGCGGTGATTCAAGAACAGGCTGTTATCTTGGGGATATCCAGAGTTCTTCATTACGGCACAAATCCTACAGGCTCCTTCGTACTTTCCGGGTCGAGCGATTCGGAGCTCAGGTTCGCAGCGGGGCCGCCTCGAGGCACGGAACAAGCATTCACATATTCCAACATGGCGTCCAAGAAACAGCAGCAGGTTTGTCCACTCAGTTGTACGCGCAATCTGTGTGTTTGCTAACAAGTTGCCAGGAAATGGTCCAGGTCGGTGTGTGCCCATCCAAGTCACAGAGAGCGTCATAGTATCCGGGGTAGCTAACATATCGCTTCCCTGCATACAGACCGATCCTCGTACGTTGCACATTGCAGTCGCATACCGGCTTTGATTGCTGATATTCCATGCGCAGCTCTGGCTCTCCTTTCTGGCGAACGACGTCCAATTCCGCTTCCTCGCCGCCGCCGAACAAGAAGGTCATCGGCGCATCCTATTCCCATGCCGACATACTCAACTTCAGCTCTTTGTACGTTGCTTAGTACGCTATTAATGGCCTGTAGCTGATAGTCACAGGAGCGTTTCCGGATCCAACTCACGACCTCGAACCCCGCCATCGGCAACTCACAGTCGCGAGTCAAGCGCTGCACCGAGCCGGTCTAGCAAGACCATATCGCCCCGTCCTGCGCGAGCCACGTACAGCTACTTCCTCAATGACACCCACCAAGACTGGAACGAGGGGGACGAAGACGATGCCGACAACATGTTTGAAGATGACGAAGACGAGTTTGGGCTGCCGAGCATCGCAAACATGCGGAGGAAGGGCCGGCGGAAACAGCCATCCAAGACGAAGGAAGCCGCCGGGCACGTTAGTAGGGAGAGTCTGGGCTCAACAGCGTGGCGTGGTATAGACAGTGGTGATATTGCAGAGGAGCGAGGCATACCCAACTACCCGACCGCGAAGAAGATTGAAGGGAAGATCTTACGGCCGCAGTACCAGGAAATTCTTCGAGATCCCGCAAACTCTCTGCATCTCATTTCGCATCCTAGTCTACCCCCAAACGCCTCAGCGAAGCAGGTCGAAGAGCACTCCGCGCGCACAACAAGGATCAACAAGTTCAAGAGGATACTGCAGGCGAGCACCATATCGCTATCAGATCTTCGCGACTCAGCCTGGTCAGGAGTCCCGTCTGAAGTACGCGCAATGACATGGCAGATCTTGTTGGGTTACCTGCCAACTAGCAGCGAGCGGAGGGTCGCGACACTCGAGCGCAAACGGAAAGAGTATCTGGAGGGAGTGCGACAGGCCTTTGAACGCGGTACATCTGGTAATGCTAGCGCTGTAGCATCTGGAATGGCAGGTGGCGCTGGCTATCCTTCAACAAATCGTGGACGAGGACGTGGCTTGGACGAAGCTATATGGCATCAGATCAGCATTGACGTGCCTCGGACGAACCCCCATCTCGAGCTCTACAGCTACGAAGCGACGCAACGGTCTCTCGAGCGAATACTATACGTGTGGGCGATACGGCATCCTGCGTCAGGATATGTCCAGGGCATCAATGATCTGGTGACCCCTTTTTGGCAGGTCTTCTTAGGCGCCTATATATCGGATCCGGATATTGAATTTGGCATGGATCCTGGACAGTTACCAAAGCAAGTTCTGGACGCCGTTGAGGCGGACTCCTTTTGGTGCCTTACCAAACTCCTTGATGGGATTCAAGACAACTACATTGCGCATCAACCAGGGATCCAAAGACAAGTCGCTAGTCTTAGAGATCTCACAACGCGCATCGATGATCAACTGGCGAAGCATCTCCAAAATGAGGGTGTAGAGTTTATACAGTTCAGCTTCCGATGGATGAACTGTCTTCTGATGCGCGAGATATCTGTAAAGAATACGATACGCATGTGGGATACATACCTGGTAAGCTACGTAGCCACACTCTTAAGTGCATCACTAACATTGCCTAGGCCGAAGAGGATGGGTTTTCTTCATTCCACCTCTACGTATGCGCTGCGTTCCTCGTAAAGTGGTCCGATCAGCTACGAAAGATGGACTTTCAAGAGGTCATGATGTTTCTGCAATCATTGCCAACGCGTCAGTGGACCGAAAAGGACATTGAACTATTGTTAAGTGAAGCCTTCATTTGGCAAAGCCTATTCAAAGGCAGTGGCGCGCATTTGAAGAACACAGGCTCAAGAGGAAGTGGCGTAGGGATGGGACCCGACTTCTGAATCAATTGCTGCAGCACAGTAGGTATTGCAATACCAAAGCACGTACGCAGCGCCTACACGAATTGTCGTCTAACGAGGTGAATCAAGGAGAGTGAACTCCTGACTAAAGACAGCAATCAAGCTCGCGCTTCAACGTATTGGCAAGAATGCTCTTTCCGTTGTCCGAGTCGCGGTCGTCACTTCCACCTCGTCAGTTACCGAGCGGAAGTTACCCCGCCCTTTACCCCACCATACGTCACATAGCTTCAGCAGTGTATCCAGATGGTGTTCAAAAGACCGACAAGTATTTCTACATCGTGGTTTCTCTAGAGTGAACTCATCAGCAAGCCCTCGAAGTTGTCACTTTCTGGACCGTTCCATATATACTTGACACTGCTATGGCACCATCGCGTCCTCCATTCCAGGATCTCCCACTCGACAAAAATGGTCCACCCGGAAACGCATGGGGTCTGTACGGCCCAAACGACGAGCTCGGCGCTCTAAACATGATTACACCATCAGCCGTCAAAGCAGCGGCCCAGGAGATACAAATCGGTGACCGGGTCTCACTTGACTGGTATCTCAACCTACCATCCCATCCATCCTTCAACCGTCCATCTTTCTCCTGGAAGATGAAGAACAAAGAACATCCAGATGGCGCGAAGAGAACCGTCAACGACGACCATCTGGATTTCAACACGCAGGGAAGTAGCCAGTGGGACGGCTTCCGCCACTACGGTTACCAGAGTGCAAAGAAGTACTACGGTGGGCGCTCACAGCAAGACCTCGAGTCCTCGGAAGTCATCGGCATTGATCGTGTTGCCAACTCTGGCGGTATCACAGCTCGGGGTATCATTTTAGATTATCCGCGGTATCTGGAAGAGAAAGGCAAGAAAGAAGTGTACGCGCTCGAAGCCAACAGCATCACGGCCGAGGAACTAAAAGACATGGTAAAAGAAACGGGTATCAAGACGCGAGAAGGCGATCTGCTACTCTTACGAACAGGATTCACACGTGATTACGCCAAGCTAGGCGAGGAAGAAAGACGGGCGATAAAGGATAAGCCACCGACGTTCCTGGGCGTACAGTCGGATAAGAACACGCTACAATGGATTTGGGAAAACGGGTTCGTCGCTGTTGGTAAGCATTCGCTCGTCTTACCTCATCTCATCTTCTCATGATCCAACGTCTCCTTGGCTTCTTCTCAAACTCCTCCAACCACAACTCAAAGTACACTCTCTAACAATTCCGCAGCATCCGACGCGCCGTCATTCGAAATGTCTCCGCTCGTAGGCCCACACAGCGCCCCAGGTGGTATCAACGCGGGTGAAACCTGGGAAACTGAGATGCAGGGCGGTGGCTTAGTACATCAATGGCTGTTGGGTGGATGGGGTGTTATGATAGGTGAGATGTGGGATTTGGAGCGGTTATGTGAGAAGAGTAAGGAATTGGGACGGAGTACTTGCTTTGTTAGTAGTGTGCCGTTGAAGGTAATGTCTCGCCAAGTTGCTGATACTGAGACATGAGCTGACTATTGCGTAGGTACCAGGTGGTGTTGCGAGTCCACCGAATGCCGTTGCCATTTTTTAACTCAGAGGCGTTTCTCGTAGCACTTAGCATCGGAGAGAGGTGCCATGAAGATGAGAAGATGGAAATGCGCTGATATCGTGTTGTGGTATCAGTCTCGGGTGATAGATTGATACGAAATACGAAATGCCAAGTCGGTGCTTACGCTCATCTCCTCTCCGCGCCCGGAGTTCTCTCCAGTGGCCAGCACACGAACCTGTCACCAAAGCGTCATCGCGGACCTCGACGGGCCGATCTCTGCCGTACGAACAATCAACGCAGAGGACTTCGCAATACTCGCCCATATTCTCCACGTCCGTATCTATGACACTTCCTCCACAAACAACCACTCATTCCCTCATATTTCCACTCCCGACACATCTATTTTTACCCCAGCAAGCCCTACGCATGCAAACCATAAAATGCGGGGAACCCATGTCCCCGAAACCGGGTAAGCAGTATATTGCGCCAAGGCTGTTTGTACTTCATTTCCTCCTGCCACCCAACATCATCTCGATGGCTTGGAAAAGCCTATCGCTTTGACCACCAACGCCATCGCCAGCCGTTTCACCCGCTTCTCCCTCAACGTCATCATGCTCATTTGCTGTTTTTGGTAGATCAGCCCCGTCAATTTGCTTAGCACGTGGAGGGAGAAGCATTGTGGCGTTTGTATTCGCGCCCAAATGTATAGATTTGGTATGTGTGGGATTGAGTTCGCATGTAAGCCGTAGTAGTGAAGCTGTCTGTCGGCGTATATGCGACGGCGACGGCTGAGGATCTTCGTGGACCGTGTTCCCCGGTGAAGCTTTTGGTGGGTGTTTGAGTGGATTACGGTGTATATATTACCCTCGTGTACGCCCGTGTTCAGCTGCATTCTTTACAGCAATTACACATCCCTTCCAACTCTCGTACAGATCATCAAGCCTCCAAAATTGTCATCAAAAT